CTAGATTTTATAGGGAGAAGCATTTATTCCTGCAGTATATATTTTTACATTAATTATGTGCTGTTGATTCTGACTTAATGGTGGTCCTCAGAAGGCTTTTTAGGTTCTGGGGGCCTCTGGACGTTGCCCAACCCCGTTGTAGGAGTTTTATTTTTGTTTTAAATACTGCACATCCTTGAGACTCACTAAAAGTGGTAGTGCTCCATGAACTTGGAACAGGTTACGGACAGGAAACTGAGAGGCCCAAGAGGCAAACACTGGCCCCTCCAGACACACTCTGGTACGCCTGTACTGCTGAACAGCCTGTTCTGTGCCACCACAATGATCTTTCTGCACGTCATGAATTATCACACACATATGTATATTATTGTATTTCTTTTATGTTGCACATATACTTTGTGTGCCAAATAGCAGCTATAGAATTTATCCACATGAAAAGGCATTTCCACCCATGTGACATGTGTCAACCGCAGGTTTGAAACACAAACATATGTACTGTACAGGTTATTTGCATGCTTCTTTTTGGCTTTTAAACAGAGTTCTGTGGCAGACCCAGGAATAACGTACAACAGCTCTAAAATCCCAGAGAATGGCGTTTTGCTGCATAAAAAGGGCTTGGATGTAGCATGATGTTGCTGAAGCACAGCCTTAACGCTAGGCAACTGTCTTCCCTGTGGGACAAGCAAGACTAGATTCAGGTGAAGGAGGAATGAAAAGCAATGTCAGAAGGGGTACGTTGCAGAAAGCTGGCTGGAGACAATTAAGAGTATATCCAGCCAGAACTGCACAAGCATCTGTCCATTTAGCATTTCAGCATGGAAAGGACAGACATGTTACACAATGGTGGTCACACAAGCTGATCCACCACCATCTCCAAACACACATGCAGAAACATTTAGGTTTTTTTTAAAGTCAGGTCAAAAGTCCTGACCCGTATATCTAGCCAGAACTGCACGAGCATGTGTCCATTTAGCATTTCAGCACGGAAAGGACAGACCTGTTACACAATGGTGGTCACATAAGCTGATCCACCACCATCCCCAAACACACATGCGGAAACATTTAGGCTTTTTTTAAAGTCAGGTCAAAAGTCCTGACTTTATGACCCTGCTGTGAAATAAGGTGGCTCACTGGATACCCAGTGTGGTGTAGTGGATAGAGTAACGGGCTAGGATTCATGGAGGTCAGGGTTCAAATCCCTGCTCAACCAAGGAAATGCACTGGAGGAGTGGAACAGTTAAAACAACTCCTTAAATATCTCACTTACCTTGAAAGCCTATTAGGGTTGCTATAAGTCAAGTTCCGACTTGACAGCTCAGAACAACAACATTATAGGATCAGCCTGGCCTATTGGGTGCACACTCAATGCATCCTTTTTTTGTCCAGGCGTTTTACAGAAAATTGAGTTCTGCCCATTTTTGTGTTTTACTTTGCTTAATTAGTTGCTTAATTTTAATCTATTGATTTTACTGCATTGTCTTCAATCACATGAAGAGTTTTCATTTGCTGCAGTACTGCTTTCTGATTAGGGGCATTAAGGTAATATTTTAAATCAATGAATAAAGTACACATTGCCTCTGTTGCTCCTTGTGGCTCCAAGGAAGGAGTTAAAGAGCCCTATGTTTTCCAGTCATATACAAGTATGCCGGCAGGCAAAGCCAACGCTGCTAGCTTTATAGCCCTTGTCCAAAGCAATCTATGACCCTTTCAGTTCAGAGCCAACACAATGTGGTTGAATTTATATTGCCACTGGCTGCTGGGTGATAATATGACTATACAGCATTATTCACTCATTTCTTAAGAATAGAACCATCTCTCACACTGTACACACCGAACAACAACTCTCATTCCCTGTAAACTGATCTCTGGAGTTTTCACAACCCGGGTCAATCTGTAGAAGCCCAAAGGTGTCCCAGAGATTTTCCCCATCTTGCTTTTCCTGGTAAGCAACCGTATGGGTTTGCCGTTGATCACAGTGGCTTCCACAGTTACTCTCCTCTGTTTTGTCCTCAGGATAGGTTATCATTTCTCCGTGTCCCTACAAGAACAATGGAGAGGGGAATGAAAGAGAGGAGAGACAAAGATGTTTGTTAAATGCTAAGCCACACGTTTTACCTTGAAACAGCAGAACCGTCCAGTGAGTTAGATACTAGAAAATGTCTCCTATAGTGAAAACAGTGAGTGCATTACTATTCATATGTCTTGTTATGTCGGTTTTCCAGAGCAGGGCTTGGACTTTTCCTCATTCTATTTCCCATCAAAATGAAGTCATTTTCTGCTTCCAAATGCAGAGGAACTCTGCTTGCCAGTGCATATCCCTGAAAATAAGTTCCTCTGAGTGCACCTGGAACAATTTCAGGCAGATTCATTATCTCACAACCACAGCTTCTCTTCTCTTCTTGTGGTTACACCTTAAAAGGCAGGTGGCTCCAAGTGAAGATACAAGAGGTGCTTTTGCTTTGGGCAGGAGGGATTCCCACATGCATTTTGGAGGCTGGATCGTCCAAGCCCTCCTCAGACCCTGAGAGCAATCTGCCCAGCAAGTACGGAATAAGACAATGGGCTTCATCCCTCATATATTTCTGCAGGCAAACTTGCGATGTGTACAAACTTACATGTGCGGCTTGGCGATGAATCAACAAAAAAAATATACAGGAAGAGCGCTGCTTGCTGGTATTAACACATCTCTACCCTATGCACATTCTCTGCACAAGAAATGGATTTTTATAAAAGCACTCAAGCAATGATTCGCATGTTGAAAGAAAATGCATCAGGTGAGACAGAACTTGGATATCACCTCACGTGTCATCTGCCCAGTGGTGCCAGATGGTACACTCAGCCACAAGTCACCAAACGTGAAGTAACAGCCATGTATGTGTGAACCAGCCTCAACATAACCATGAAGTCATGAAAAGTTAGGTCACACAATTCCCTGTCTCCTGACACACAATTTGTAAAGGGTTGCTTCCTGGTAAAACGCCCGATGAGCTAAGCTACCTTAGGCAGCAACACACCAACAAATCAGCGTTTGCAGCAGCAAGACTTAGGAATAAAATGCAACATCTTTTACAAAGCAAGTTACTGTAGGTCTACTCAGACGTAAGTTCTATTGAGTTTAATGAGGCTTAAATAAGTACTGTATAGGCTTTCGCTACCCAGGCTAGTTACCTAACTCATAAACACGCAACCAAGCTCGGATTGCTAGAGCACTTTCTCCAGCAATTATCATAAAGACTGGAGTCTTTTTGCTCACCTCCCTTCGAAAGACCACCACTTTACCTGCAAGAAGGTTTTTTGAAGAAGCTTTAATTTCAAAAAAACAAGAGCGTTACATTCACACAAACCTCTTACCTCGTCAACGCTCATGTTATTCCACAGAGCAGAGCATCACCACGTGCGACTTCCTTGTACAGTCATTGAGACTAGCGGGCCAGCTGCCTTCTGGGAAATGTAGTTTCCATTGTGGGTGAGTCCAATTCATTTTCTGAGGCGTATACTGTATAAGAGAGAGGCTGAAACGAAGGACCGTATGCTTATAACTTTGGATTCTTTTTTGGCATTCACGAATAGGGGTCACGGTGAACAATATGTAACCTGACGCACCTCGTTTGAACTGCCTGCGAGGCTCATTTGTCTCTCGTTAACCACAATTAGGCGTCCCACGCCTGCAGCAACCATCCGCACCCTACTCCCCAGAAGTATTTATTCAGTCAGAAGGAAGTACGGTCGATTTTCAGCGGCTGTGGACGTGGCGTTCAGAGAGATACGCTGATGAATTTGAGGAGTACAGTACAAGCTTCCTGCGAAGACGAAACGGAGGATTTCTGTGCAGAAATCTAGAGTAACGGTCCCCAAACTTCGCCTTTGGTTCGCAAAACAGACGTGTTGTTGGACTACAAATCCCAGACTCCCTACGCCTTGCTTATACTGGATGTGGCTTCTTCAACAGAATACTGTAGTCTCTTCTCCCTTACACAGAAGTTTGGGAACTATTGTTGTAGGTACTTTTGTTCCACTTAAGCTTATGCCACCCAAAAACAACAACAACAAACTAACTCTAATGGTTGTTGTGGGTTTTTCAGGGTTTTTGGCCGTGTTCTGAAGGTTGTTCTTCCTAACGTTTCACCAGTCTCTGTGGCCAGCATCTTAGAGGACAGCAACCTGTGGCCGGCAGGGGTATGCCTCAGCACTTGATTGTCTGTAAACAAACCCTAATTTACAAATTTATACAAGCCACTTGGTTTTGCTGCACAGAGGAGGGTGGCTCCCCCTTCGGACAGAACGTGTTCCAAACAAGGGGATTCTTTAAAAAGGGTGGTCAACCAGTGGCTCCCTTTGCCGCAGATATTATCAGACTACAAATCCCATCATGGCTCACACCAACCGCTGCTGGCTAGGGGTGATGGGAATTCCTGTTTAACAATACAGTATTGTAAGGCCGCATCCTGGGACACCTTTGCTCATGGGGTGTACAGTACTTGATCAAATGACCTGTGGCAAGGCATAAAGAGCGTTCCAGTGAGCCCCGAGGGGAAAGAGAGGCTGCAGCTTGCCTCAAACCATTATTTATCTAAATGGGTAGTATCTGAAGAGTATATTCCAATTACAGAGAACATTATGTACTGTATCTCCATTCCTTGACTGCCTGAGAAAGTGGGCGATCGAGGACAAACTGGATTTTCTGCTATGAGGATCTAAGAAAGAGGATAATTGTCTGATGGAAAGAGCCATCTAATAGTTGTTAATCCTTATGAGTTTTTCTTGGGTTCACATAAGTTTTATTAAAACCTATGCATCGTTTTCAGTATTTTATTAAACAACAGTAGCACATTTTAGGATTCAAGTATTTGCCACACTAAAGATTTTAAGAAGATCAGTCTATGCTTTAGAGACTACAGCAGAGCCTTTGACTGTGTGGCTCGTGAAAAATTTTGGGATGTTCTGAAAGAAAGGGGTATGCCTCAGCACTTGATTGTCCTGGTGCATAACCTGCATTGCAGACAAGAAGCTACCGTTAGGGCAGAATTTGGAAGGACAGAATGGTTTCCTATAGGAAAAAGTGTCAGACAAGGGTGCATTTTATTTCCTTCTCTGATCAATTGTACACAGAAATATATATATTTAAAAAGACAGACTCGGAAGGGCATCAATGAAAGAATTAGAAAAGATCATCAACTATAAGGATGTGTCAACGGAGACCAGACCAAGACCATCCGTATTCCTGATCTCCATGGAGATTAAAAGCTGTAGAGTAAAGAAAGGTGACAGGGAAACAATTGTTCTTCTTTGTGGTCTTGGTGAATGCACACGAGTACCACTAGAAGAACAACGGTTACAGGTAAGTAACCTCTCTGTTTGAAGGGTGGTGCTGGAGGACAGCTTTGCAGATACCTTAGTAGATCCTAGAGCATATCAAGCCTGAACACTCTCTGGAGGCAAAAATTGTAAAACTGAGGCTTTACTCAGTTTCCAAACTCAGTTTGGGTACATCAAGAGAATGAAGAATTCTCTGGAAAAATATTATAATGCTGTAAAAGTTTAAAGGCAGCAGGAAAAGAGAAAGATCAAATATGGGTTGACTTCCTGAAGGAACCACAGGCTTGAGTTTACAGAGCTGAGTAAGGTGTCAAGGACAGAACATTCTGGAGGTCATTCATTCATAGGGTTGCCGTAAGTCAGAGGCAACTTGAGTGCACATAATGACAATATTTACTGCCACTTTTGTCACCAAGATGTGTTAATTGTAGTTAAAGGGAAGTTGTCGTTTCTGCGGAATATTCCAGGGAATTTCACAGGAGCAGTGGAAATTCCTTAGTTAATATACAACAGACTGGACAAGATTCTTTGAAAGGCTGCTTTGTCCACCATTGCTGATCCTTCCCAGTCAATGCCTGACATGTTCCAGGTGCTCACATGGGAGTGGAACCAGCTTGCTCAGCACTCTGCCTGAAGTGCCTGGTGTCTAGAATGCAAACACTCTGGATCGCACAGAAGTTCCTCAACCTGAAGAAGAGTTCTACAGCGCTCAAAAGCTTGCATATTTTGTGCAATTACAGTTCTGTATCTTACACAGATGCTAATTAAAAAAATCGTTCCTGTAGATTTGGGGTTTTATTTTACTCCCGGGGATCAATACTGCCAATCAACGGCACGGTCTGTAGCCTTAGGGTTCAGAATCCTATGAGTCCCGGAGACATGCTACCACGGAAGGACGGCCGAATCTGAAGGCACACGATCCCGTTGGCGCTTGCGCAGTCTGACCTCTGCTTGCCTTCCGTCGGTCGGGAGTCGCCTTTCTCCCCCATGGGCTGCCTAGCGACCTTCCTTCCCTCGGGAAAGGCGGCCGCGGTATCGAAAGAGGAGCCCTGCTAGAGGGCGGGCGAGGGGGCGGGTCTGCCGCGCAGGCGCACTTCCTTTCCCTGCCTGGACGATCTCGGCTGTCTTGGAAGGCGGCCCGCTTCTTCTCCCCTTTTTTTCTCGTCGGGAAGAAAACGGCACGATGAGGCACCTCCTGTTCCGCCGCCTCTTGCAGGGCTGCCGTCGGGGCGCCCTTCCCGTGAGTAGTCGTGGGAACGAGCAAGAGGACCGCGACGTTATTGCAGGCGGTCCCCGGGGAGCAAATGCTCGACAGCGGAAGGAGGCGGGGGGGGCGCGCTTTTTCCTGGGGAGTGGGGGCGCCGCCTTCCGCGGGACTTGGGGGGGTCACCCCCCAATATATGCAAGCCCACCGCTGGGTCGCCTCCTTTGCGGCGATCCCCTCCCTTCCAAGCACCGCTGAATCGTTGGGCACCTGCAGTGGGTGGTGGGTGGGGGGGAAGCAGTTTCTCCCACGGAGTCCTACGTTTATTTATATTTTTTTTAAATAAAAGCTGGCCGACCCGTTGTGGTCTCATGGGGTAACACACTGTGCGCGAGAATTATAGTAATCTGCCGCTGTCGGCGATATACTGGAACCAGCGCTCAGTGGGGGGGGGGTGTGTGTGTCAAATCTCAGGATTTCTGTGTAGCATTTGTTGACACAGGCGGGCGCACCCAGCCCCGTTTAGGTTCCCTTGTTCTCTCTGCTCATCTCACAGTAGTTAGCAGAGAAATAGGTTTCTCCCCTTCCCCCCCAGGTCACGAAGAGTCGGATACGACGACAACGACACACACACACACACACACCGCGTTGTTGCAAGGTCTGTCTCTTCTAATGCAAGGGATAGAGGATGGTTTGGTCTTGAATAGGCTTTTAAGAGCCATTAGGTATACAAAAGACCTTTCTTTCATGTGTTGCTATGGTTCCACCTAGCTGCTTGCATTTTCTTTTGCCTGCTCTTGTGAAGTAGTGTTGGCATGTATGTGATCTGTCATGATGTGCACTTGCACTTCCAACTTGACCATTACACCGCTGACCACTTTGGCTTCCATCCTCGGCCATGAATTCCCGTCGACACTCTTGCCATGAAGGACCCTTCCATATTTTAGGGTTCTGAATGTATTATAATCCAAAGGCAAGAGTGAATGCTATCTTTACGGCCCTACAGATTTGTTCTTTTGTTGTTGTTTGTTTTGTTGGCTATTATATACAGTAGTCTGAGAACATATAGAACTTGGCCCTTAGATGTTGAACAGCTGGTCTGCACCCATCTCCAAGCTCCTTTCTCTGTGTTTGAAAGAATACAACATGCTCTGTGTAATTATACAGTGGACCCTTGACTTACAGACGGCTCAACTTACAGACTTCTCTGGCCACAAAATTTAGGTTCGATTTGTAGCCAGAGAATCGACCTACAGACCAGAAAAAAACCAAAACGGAACAAAAATGGAGCAAAAACGGCCGGTTACAGGATTAATCGGTTTTCAATGCATTGTAGGTCAATGGAGACTCGACCTGCAGCCACCGTTCCAATACGGATTCATTCCGTAAGTAGAGGGTCCACTGTAAAGAGTCAGTAGTTCCAACACCAAAACAGGACCATTAAAAATAACAGCTTTAAAAGAACTGTAAGTTTGATTTGACAATAAAAAAGCAATGATTTATACACACACACACACACAGAGTATTTAAATCAAAATTTACTTCTGAAAATTTATTTTTAATTTAAATCATTTTCAAAGTCTTATTAGTTTTTTTTTAAATTGTGATTTCAATTATGATTTAAATTCATTTTATTTAAATCAAATCCACCCTGTGTGGAAGTTTTAGAAAGCATGCTTCTAAAATATACTTTTGTATTTTTTTAAAAAATTAGGATTTTAAATATTTTCTGCATAAGGTGCCCCAGACTTGAGGAGTTGCTGTATTTAATGTTTTCCCAAAATATGCATGTTGAAATATGCCATTGATCAGTGGGCTATGATTACGGAGCATCGCCCAGAGACCTTTGGGTAGTGTGGGCGGCATATAAGTTAAATAAATAAATGTTTTTTAAAAAATCTGAAATTTAGATAAAGCAGGAATGGGTAACCTGAGAGTCTCAGAGGTTGTCGGGCTGCAACTTCCATCACTAGAATTGTAATTGTTAATTGGATTTGAGGCCATAAACTCCACCATTAACTGTTTCTACAGATATAGATCTAATTAGACCCTGTCTTGTTGCAAATGGAATTTCTTTTTTTCTGTCTTACAGTGTCTGCCTCTCAATGTGTCAGGGAGTTTTGGGAGAAAACCCTTGACTGATACGTTGCATCATGCATACAGCACAGAAGGAGGAAATGCCGGAAGGTCCCTTGGACACTATCCAATACCCAATAAGAAGGATTTGCCGTATGACATAGTGGAGCTCATGGAAGAAGTAGAAGTAAAGGTATGGATGTCCTACAGGGGGCAGGGCGGGGGACCCTGGTGTTTCAGCAGGTGATACCTTGCCTTTGTTTCCAACTAGACATAAGGAGGGAAACCCAAGCCCATCTGGTGTAGTGCACAACATGGCAAACTAGGTCTAAGGACACTAGGGTTGAAATCCCTCCTGGGCCATTGAAACCCATTAGGGAATGGCAGAGGCAAAACTACTCCTTGAACATCTCACACATCTCTGAAACCCATTAGGGAATGGCAGAAGCAAAACTACTCCTTGAACATCTCACACGTCTTGAAAACCCTCTTAGGTTTTCATCAATTGGAAGCAACCGAACACAATATAACAACAAAAGAAGGCAAGCATCACAACTGAGACTGATCTGGTACAGTGTGTGATGTGACAGGAATGGAGATGTATCCATGGAGCAGAATGATTTTATATTTTTGTAAGTTGGAGATGGGGCAGCTCTTGTTAGTTTCTCCAAGACAACTTTTGAAAGAATCAGAGATACACTCTCAAACCATCTCTGTAGGTGAGACAATCTAGTTAGAATATCTGCAGCCTCTTTCTACTTGCTACCTTAATACTACCCAGAATCCTTGGGTTGGACATCAGCCATCATCCTCAGCCCTCAGTTGCTTCATTTACTGTCTTGGCTGATGAATTGTTTTGGAGAATTCAGCATTATCCCTAGTATTTTGTAACCACACAATTGGCATAATGCAAAGTATTATCTTGTTAAGTGTTATGTGATACAAACGTTAGATCAGGAAAAAAATGAGAAAAGGGCCATGTGGTCTCCAAAAGAATACAAATGCAGGAGCAGGTGATACTTTTATTAGACCATTAAAAAACCAAACAAACAACAGATAGCTAGCTTTTGATGATAACTCAATATAGCTTTTGATGATAATTCAATTATAATTCTTGAATGAATTATCATCAAAAGCTAGTTGTCTGTTGTTTTCTTGATGTTGTTAGCTCAGGGGTTCTGGCATGTATTTTTGAGTAGAAAGGGCAACAGTTCCAAAGTAAACAAAAGGCAGTGAGGACAACGGCTACTGAAAGGCAGAACTAAAAGTGTGGCTTTATGCTTTGCTGCTCTTCCAGACACAGTTACTATCTGTCCTAGGAAGGTAGAAAATAAAATGGTTATACTATATAGTTAACTATACAGTGGTGCCTCGCATTACGATCGCTTCGTTTAACAACAAAATTGCATTACAGTGATGTTTCCTATGGGGGAATTTCACTTTGCAATAATCGGTTCCCTGCTTCAGGAACCGTTTCTTCGCAAAACAACGATTTTCCAACAGCTGATCGGCGGTTTCAAAATGGCCGCCAGGTAAATCAAATGGCTCCCCAATGTGTTTAGGGACGGATTCCTCACAAGACAGGAGCGAAAATGACCGCCCTATGGAGGATCTTCGCTGGACGGTGAGTTTCAAGCCCATCAGAACGCATTAAACAGGTTTTAATGCGTTTCTATGGGCTTTTAAATTTCGCTTTATGATATTTTCGTTCTACAGCGATTTCGCTGGAACAAATTAACATCGTAATGCGAGGCACCACTGTACCTTGCATCCCATCAGAGACAGGGTTTGCCCTGAGACGGAAAAACAGTGGGTTGAATGAGCATCTGAACCTGATGGGCTACATTTAGCTTAATGCAGGAATTAAGGGAACCTGCAGCCTTCCAAAAATCCTCACTATTGGTAATGGAGAGTTGATGGGAGTTCATGTCCAACCACATCTGGAAGGTCACAGCATTCTCTCCTTAATTTAGTGGGTTGTCAGCCTGCTATTTTGGAACAAAGAAGACTTGCTAGATGCATTAACAAGCCATTTTTCATACCAAATCAGCCTGTTTGTCCATCTGGCTTGGTATTGTCTGCTCAGACAGGCAGCAGTTCTCCAGCATCTGAGGCAGAGGGTGTTTCTCACCTGATCCTTTAAACTGTAGAAGTCAGGGATTGCAAACTATGGACATTCTGCATATACAGACTGTCTGATCTCGTCCCTTCCACTGGGAGAACAATTCAGAAGGGGAGGCTTGACATCACTCTGTAACATCCCCAGGCTTGTCCAGCAGCCACTTGTATCATACTGGGACAGGAAATAGTATGAGCATTGCATAGGAGGTTACCTTAATGATGACTTTATTATATCTGATTATTGTATCTTCTTTCTTTCTTTTTTCATTTTTTTCCTCTTCTTAATTCTCAGACTGGGTTTTTGCCCAATGTATTTAAAGTGTTATCTCACCGACCAGCAGAATTTAGAGCCTTCTTTGCTTATTACAATGCCATCATGAACAAGGAGTCAGGTAAGAATAGCAACAGGTCTTGGAATGTAATCTGATCTGAACTTCTTTCCCAGTAGGGCTATAATAAACCACTGTAGGTTATGAAATTCCTTTGGGATTTCCAATGAGTAGATGAATGATTTTAAGTACCCTCAAGTCTATCATGGTTTGTCTGCAGATGTCATTAGGAGACATCACTAGCTTTCACTGGACTTAAAACCTAGTAAGATGCTGCTGTCATCTTCCCAAACAAAATTAACTAGTATCCTAGAATTCTTAGTTTGCAGTAAAGAAGTAGTAATTCTCCAGACTGTTGCTTTGTCACCTGAAAAGCTTTATGCTAATAGACTGTGATCTGGGGACCAAGAACACGTGCAAGTTTCCTATACGTGCCCATGAAACACAACACTTTTCGGTTTCAAAAGTTAATGCAGAGGTTACACTTGAATCAGGGCTCAGGAAACCCGATTTCAAATCCCCAGTCAGGTAATTCATATTGTCATTTTGGATTAGTCCTGCTCCCTTCATGTCTGAGCTGCCTCCCAGAGTTATTGTGAAAATAAAGTGAAGAGGAGGAGAGTTGTCTGCATGCTCTTGAGCTCACAGATAGTCTAAATGCAGTGCAAGTGACAATAACAGCAACTTGAACCATCTTGCTGTCTCAAAACCTCTAGTTGACTGCATGATGATCTGTGTGAATAGTTTAATTGCATCACAGGCACAAAGAATGAACACAACAGCTGAAAATCTAAGTGCTTTTGGAATGTGGGAAAGTACCAGGGTTCGGTACAACAGAAGCAATTACAGAGTAATAGCTTTTCTCAAACTTAGAAATTACGGATAAATTATAATTGCATTTATTTCCTGGCCTTTATGATCATTGCAGAGCAAGGAACAATATTGCTGAACCAGTGAGCAGTAAAGTACAGTGGCCGAAATCTTGCTGGGATTTTACTTGTATGTCTAAGACAAATCTTCTCGCTTGTCATGGCTAAGTGATGTGGTGCAAAACTCTGGTGGTTATGTCCTCGTTTAGTCGTGTCCGACTCTTCGTGACCCCATGGACCAGAGCATGCCAGGCCCTCCTGTCTTCCACTGCCTCCCAGAGTTGGGTCAAATTCATGTTGGTTACTTCGATGACACTGTCCATAGGGTGGTTATGTGCCCAATCATAAACTCAGTTGTGTGTCCAGCATGTGCCCAACACATGCCATGCATCTTGTCAATTAGCCAACGCAGCTGACATAGTTGATTCCTCTCTAGTGTGGGATTTTGGTATAGAATTTGGACAATAAAAACACATTAAGGGCATTTAATTAACAATTAGTTTAAAAGTCAGCAAAAAGAGTGATTGTAGTGGCAGTGAATTTCTCTTAAACAAATTCTCCAAATGAGCAGAAACTGACTGGGTGTGAAAACACTAGTGAAAGTGATACCTCTTGGGATAGGAGATTCCAAATTCAGAGTATTGCCATAGAGGGAGTCCTTCTTTGAACACCCATCCCATGTACTATGAGATGGTCTTCCCTCAAATCTAAAAGCACAAGGAATAGGGTGAGGCTTTTCTTCAAATATTTGGGCCCAACTGAAGTCTTTAGTTTAGTTTTAGTTTTAATGGACTTATACCCCGCCCCCGCCCCCGACAAAGTCTACTCGGGGATGCTTACATGAATGATAAAACACAGCAATAAACATACATAATAAAATCCTACAACTATTTGTAGGGCAGGGCTTTGCAGGTTTGCACCAGCACCATGAATTTAGCCCGAAGGTGGAGTGGCAGCCTATTTAGCTGTTGCAGGAGCAGCGTTCTATGTCCCCTGAAAACTGCCTCTGTAGCATCCTGGCGAGATCATTCTGTACCTTCTGCAATTCTGGGTTATCTTCCGGGGCAGTCTCCCATGAAATGCCTTAGTGTGATCTAGACTAGAGATTGCTGGAGTATGCTTTTGTTTGTCCAACTATCTCTGTTGAGGAAGAGGCATAGCTGAGACATGAAGCTGAACAAGACATGTTGTCCCACTGAATCCACCTGGGCCAGATTTTTAAAAACTACAAAAAAAAACAAAACCAAACTGTAGGCTACATAGCTGTTCGGTTTTTTGTGGGGTTTTTTTTCTTTTTTGGTGGGAGTGCTAGCTGATGCAGCATGAGTAGTCCATGCCTTTTTCAGATCCAGGAACCATCTACTCAAAAGATCTCTGTCTTAGGATTCAGCCTGATTTCATTGGTAATTCATCACCTGTACAGCCACAACACATGGATGATAAAGAGACTTAGAACTGGGTGTCAACTGCATATTGCTGACACCTCACCCCAAATCCACTGAGGAATTTTCCTAGTGGTTTCATAGAGTTGCTAGAGAACACATGAAAGTAAAAGCCCACCATTTCATGAGTCCATCCAGAGAACTGCTCTAGAAATATGACCCACCCTTTGCATATCTTATCATTCCACAGGGAATCTAAGCAAGGCCGACAAAGAACTCATTATTGTAGCTACCAGTATTGCCAATCGGTGCCCCTACTGTGTAGTTGCACATAGTGCCTTCCATCGGATATACTCCAAAAAACCCACTCTGGCGGATCAGGTCAGTCCCCATATCTGTCCTGTGTCTCTTATTTGTGTGTAATTTTCTGTGTCTTTGACTTCTGTGCTATTTTATGTAGGAAATGGACTTTTAAGATTGTGTCAGCAGTTATTTACCTGCCCATCAAGTTCATCGAGGTACTTCGGATCTACGTGTGTGAAGCTTGCAAAACAGAAAAGAAATTGTATGATGTGGAACTTGTTCTGAACAGGAATACTTAGAATGTTTTGCATCTTTTCCTCTTGTTCTTCCATTGTCAGGCAACGATTTTCCTTTTCAGGCAGGCTTTTAAGTAGTAAATAGATTTTGGTTTCTTTGTTTAGGAATGCTGTTTCTATTAAATATCAAGATATTTAAATGATTTAAACACTTTTAAAAATATTTTTATGTGTTTAGTTGTTCTTAATGTTATATCACAATGTTTTTAATTGTGATAATTGAGTAGTTTTAATCAACCGTGAGCCTCCTTGAGTTCCCTATGGAGAGAAAGCTGGCATATGAATAAAATGGCAGAAAGACAGACAGACAGACAGACAGACAGACAGATAATCCTATAATTATCTATTTGAAACCAAAGTAACAATTCTGTTTTCCACAATCTTATTTTTTTTATTGTACACCACTCTTAAGAATATGATTTGCAAGGGGGCATGAGAATAAATAAATACTTGTAATAAGTAACAATCTGAAAGAAACATTGAAGGATTATTGAAGAAGACATAACAAAAATATGCTTCCATGTATTCAGTCACTGATTTACTATCTCTGTTTTATGTTTTAATTTACTTGTACAGTGTCAAGAGAGATCCAGTTATTGGGTTACTAAAAATGGTAATAAATACTACAGTGGTGCCTCGCTAGATGATGATAATCCGTTCCATAGAAATCGCTGTCTTGTGAAAACATTGTCTAGCGAAAAGCATTTCCCCATTGGAATGCATTGAAACCTGTTTAATGTGTTCCGGTGGGGGGAAATAGTTGTCGCCCAGCGAAAATCGCCCATAGGGAAGCCATTTTGTGAAGCGCCGATCAGCTGTTTAAATCGCTGTCTTGCGAAACATCGGCCCCGAAAACACACGTTTTGCGAAGATCGCCCATAGGAAAGCCATTTTGCAAAGCTGTCAATCAGCTGTAAAAATCGTCATCTTGCGAAAAAACGGTCTGCGAAGCACGGACCAAGTCATCGTCCAGCGAAATCCCCTATAGGAAAAACCATTTTGCGAATCACTATAGCAATCGCAAAAAGTCAACATCTAGCGAAAAAACCGTTTTGCGGGGTAATCGTCTTGCGAGGTACCACTGTACAATGTAAAACAATAAACCATGATTTGTTTATATTGTATTAGAAGATGAGTGCCTTTAAAGGCTTTGACCACCAGGTGGAAAGAGCTCTTACCATAGAATCATAGAATAATGAAGTTGAATGGGGCCTCTTAAGTCCATCAAGTCCAACCCAAACATCCCATTGGTTTTGAGTTGTGTAGAAAGGGACAGTTCAGCGCGTCTGGTTTAGCAAGCCATCCAGCTGCAAGAATGGGAAGTGCACTTGTGAAAATTCCCTCTTCACTTTAAGTCTCAAGTACAGTGGAACCTCTACTTACAAACGTCATGAGTGCAGCTGAAGACCTGGAACCAGAAGGGTTAACTCAGGCTGAGGAGAATGCTGAGAGATCAGAAACACCTGAATCGCCTCCAGATTCTCCTTTCCCAGCAGACAAGCTTTGGGCCAGGCTTCGGGGAAGACTTATGGCAAAAAGGTCAGAGGATCGCTTGAAGACTGTCCACAGAAACATCCGTTCAACTAGCCCTGAGTATTGAAAGGATGGAAAGGTTTCCAGCAGCTCAAGGGGCTGTTTTGCTATAAAAACAACTCCTAGTCAGCTGGAATTTCTGTGGAACCAAGTCAGAACCTCTGGCTAGCATCCATGCTCCTACAACCATGAACCGTGTTCCTGACTCTGGACTTTGACCCTGGACTACGTTGTGTGTTTGGCTCTGGACTCTGACCTTGGACTACGTTCTGTGAGTTGGTTTGGTAAATATCGGACTTCGTTGCGTTCTTGGTATTCCTGACCTTGGACTGGTTTATCGGACTTCGGCTATTGTAACCCCCGGGAACGTGACACGTCTCTGCCTATGAACAATCCAACTTACAAACACCTCCGTTCGCAAAGTTTTGCTTCTACTTGCGAACGGAGCTTCAAGATACAAACACAAAAAGGCAGGGGGGAAAGGCAGGCAATTCAAATTTCTAACTGTAGGTGGCGCCGAGGCTGCTTCTTTGTGCTGTAGCTCGGCAATTATAGGGTGTGTCGTAGTGGGAGGCTTGGGAGAGCCTCCTGCTTCTACTTACCAACGTTTCAACTAATGAATATCTTCTGGGATGGATTAAGTTCATAAGTAGAGGTTCCACTGTACATGGACGCCATTCAGTCCTTTGCATCAATGAGCCACTTCAGAATCTGTAAGCCATGCAGCGTGGTTCATGTTAAGGATACTCCTTAAGCCTCCTTGCAAGCTGTTGGTTCACCTGTTACTGACTCGACAGAGAGAGAATGTGTGTGTGTGTGTGTTTTCTCTAGTAGCCTCCATGTTTGGCTCTAACTGAATCCAAGTGTTATGAAGCCATTCAGTCCTTTGCATCAATGAGCCACTTCAGAATCTGTAAGCCATGCAGCGTGGTTCATGTTAAGGATACTCCTTAAGCCTCCTTGCAAGCTGTTGGTTCACCTGTTACTGACTCGACAGAGAGAGAATGTGTGTGTGTGTGTGTTTTCTCTAGTAGCCTCCATGTTTGGCTCTAACTGAATCCAAGTGTTATGTTAGGCCTTAATTTTATCATATTCTCTATGTCTTTGTGAAGGTCACCGTGAACTGGAAAATGGCTGACCTAACTGATCGGGAGCTGGCCATGCTTGAATTTGCAATTGCTGTCTGTCAAGCAAATAACATTACCGAAGAGCATTTTCAGAAGCTGGAAGCCCATGGGTTTGACCGAGAAGATGCCTGGGATATAGGCGCCATCTCGGCCTTTTTTGCAATGTCAAATCGTATAGCCCACTTCACAAATGTGCCTCCAAACCCAGAATTCTATGCCATGGGAAGAGTACCAAGAGACAAAGAGAAGACTGAATCCTCCTAACCGACCTTGCTTGTTTTACCAGATTTTTGCTTAAGGCTTTCCAGATTTTTTGCAAAAAGATTGTCTCCCAACATTGAGGTCATACTTGACTAGATACAGAATGAATATGGTAAGGTCCAAATGGGCAGGTATTGGTTTTAGTAAGATGTACCTCACATTCTATTGAATTCTTGAAAAGGATTTCTGGTGGGATCTCAGCTAAAATGTGGTACACTGAAGACATTTTGAGCCCCTGCACTTGCTGCTTAGCTTCTTTTGACTGTAATCAGTACCATACTGTGATTTATCAATAACTTCAGGGTTAACACTTTCATAATGTATTTTATTTCTCTTAAACCTATTTGACCCAGGACATACTTGTTACAACATATCTTTTAATGACCAAAATTTGAAAGAATGTTTCATGAGACATGACAACAAATATTTAGAAGGGTTGTTTCTTAATGCCTCCCAAAGAACTGTGATTTGCCTGTTACCTACTTTATTGTAGCATGAGATAAATACTGGTTTTCTTCATGTTTTTAAGGTGCAAATTTAATCTGGCTGACTGCTTTATACTACCGTATTTGCCGGCGTACAAGATGACTTTTTGGTCCTGAAAAACATGCCTCCAAGTGGGGGGGTCATCTTATATGCCGGGTGCACTTTCAGCAAACCCTCCCTCTCTCCCAGGGAAGTCACTTACCTGGTAGTAAGACTGAGTAGACCAAGCTCCTCCTTGGTAGCCTGGGAGCAGCCTGGCTCTAGCGCTGAACAGCTGACTGTCAGGAACCAGCAGAGAGGCGGCAGCCATTTTGAGATGCGACCACATGGCTGCTGCCTCTCAAAATGGCTACCGCCTCTCAAAAATGGCTGCCGCCTCTCTGCTGGTTCCCGACAGTCAGCTGTTCAGTGCCAATGCTGTCCTTCTTCCAGCAAACCCTCGCTCTCTCCCAGCGAAAGGAACCAAAAGCGGCAAAACGAACTCTCCCCATGATGCAGCCAAAGCAGAATCACTCATGCGGAAGAGGGCGTAGTCTTATATGGCAAGTATATAACAAACTACATTTTGAGTGGAAATGTTGGGGGGTCGTCTGATACGCCTAGTTGCCTTATACGCTGGCAAATACTGTACGGTACTTTTATAATTTCTGACTTTTATTTGATATGTTTGTTTTCTCAAATTACTCTGAGAAATATCTTTGAAGGGTGGTATGAAAATAAATAAATGTACAACCTTTGCTATATGGTCCCTTTGTAAACCTTTCTCGAAGCACTCTTTGCATCTCCAATTATAAAGGTGGAGCAAACTTGAAAATGAAGTTTTCCTATAGCTGCCGTCCCAAAGCTCAGTTGAAAAAAAATATTTAAACCTAAGTATTTTTTTAACACTTGAAAGGCTAAGCGAGTAAGCAATCTTTTAAATAAAAGGATGTGTTCTTATCTCATATGTTGACCGCCATTAACAAAAAGTCTAATGTTAATTGGCAAAATACACATGCTGCATTGTCCCTTTTCAGAAAAATTGCACTTAAAACTTTTGTCTCCACATCTGCCTTAACTGTGTCTTAGTAGAACACTCAGTTTGACAGAAAACTTGCTGGGTGAGATTATGCAGTCGGTCCACTATGCTCAGGTGCCAAATCCTTGCTGCATTTTTTTACCAAACCTTATTAAAATGAACCATTCTCTGCATAATTATAAGCTTGTGAGTTAAAATTCTTAGCATAGCCCTACAAGTTTTCACAGACCAATGGATCAGTGCTCAACCCCAATATGAAAGTAAATCAAATCTTGTATAACTGAAGCTTCCATAAATAGAATTAAAGAAAGAAAGAAAGAAAAGGAAGAACATGCAAGTGAATGATGCTTGAGTGACTGAGAGACAGCACATGACAGTTCTTCACACTGCACAGAGTGAGTGTTTGGACAGACTTTGTGATCGTGTTTCTTCTTTAATTTCTGCTAATAAAATTATTTGGTTATTGTCGGTGACTTTTGAATATTATCACAGAATTTTGTAACAATACATTTTGGCCGAGCCTCAGAATGGATTGCTGACTGAATTTGAAAGGTAAAATAATTGATACTGTTGATGAGGGTGCATCCTGTTCAAAACAAAATGAAGCTTCTTCCAGTCATCTTAAGTGTCGCCATTATAGCAAGGAATATCTGTCCATGAGACCCTTCACGAGAGACTTTAAATATTTGAAGCACTTTAGGGTTTTAAATCTTGAGTTAAGTCTTGGTGGTCGGTGGCAGTAAAATGTTTTAAGGCAGTCTGTGGTAAAGGTTAAGAACCGCTGCTATAGACTGCTAGATACATAAAATGTTATGAAGAGAATATAAAGCGTAACTAGCCTGCCCAGCAAGTTTACTGAAACCTCTGAAAATAGTTAAGGTTGCTGCCAGGAAAAAAGAAACAAGCCTTGGTTTACTAGGGTTGGACGGGTTGAAAATCCATTTTTATTTACCCATTTTCTGCCACGAGGGCTTCCTAAGCTATTCTCGTTATTATTTAATTAGAAACAGATCAGGAACATTAAAGATTTTAAACATTTTTTAAAAAGAAATCAAAACATTAAAGGTAACATTTGCTTAGTGCGTTCGCCGAGACGGATGTGAAACCGTCGACGTCACTGGAAACAGAACCCCTTCTCTAGGTTATAAAAGTTGATTTTACAATTAAAAGACGGCATCATTTTGCACCTCGGCGATAGAAGGACAAGCGGAAAGCGCGAAGCCTCCTCCTCCCCCCCCCCCCCGGCGGAGGGGCGTGGCTTCTCAGGACACGTTCGGAGCCCGAGGCTACGAAAAGAGGCGGCTCTTCCTCGAACGGAAGGAGAATCTGGGCGGCTCTTTGTAGTTGGGCTCGGGTTGCTGGCCGGCGTCGTTTAGTTGGTACGCGCCGCACCGGAAGTGCGAGGGGGGGGCGGTTAGGTGGCGGTAGCAGCAGCAGCAGCGGCAGCCTTGGGTGTTATGAGAGGAATGCTGCTGCCCGGAGCGGCGGGGCGGAGCTCGGGATGAGCTGGCGGGCGCGGTGGGGCTCCACCCCAGAGCGGTCGTCTCCGGGCGAGGGGGACCAGTCGCCGCCGCCGCCGTCGTCCCCGCCGCTTCCACCCCGGAAACAGTCGCCGAAGCAGCCGCCGGCCTATGCCTCCTGCTCGGTGCCCGTGTCGGTGCCCGGCGGGGGCCTGTTCGCCTGGGTGCGCGACCGGCGCCTGGGCCATGGGGGCCGCTGCGTGGAGCCGGCCCGGGACACCTTCCGGGCGATGACGGGGCTCTACGGGGCCATCCAGCCCGCGGACTCCGTCTCCCCCATCACACGCACGCACGGCGCCGTCTTCAACCTGGAGTATTCCCCTGGCGGGTAAGGCGAAGGGAAGGGAAGGGAAGGAGGCCGGCCAGAGGAGGGAGCGGCGGGGATCTCGGCGCCCTCCGCTTCCCATCTCTCCGCGAGAGTCATGTATACCGTAGGGCTCGGTACCTCTCCGTTTGGTGATCGAGTGACAATATATTTGTGCATCTTTTATTTCCCCTTCGTCCCATATGGTCGGGCTAGTAGTGGTGAGACTTGAAACGCAGGATGGTTTTGCTCCAAACCTCCCCCTCCCCCTCTTTAACTTCCTATGCCTCCGTGTCTTCTGGAAATGCCACACTGCAGCCGTATTTTGCATTTTGGGGGTGGGTTCATGCGTGCACCTGCTAGGAAATACTGTATTGGGTTTGGATCATGTCCCACAACACTTAGGAAAGATATGCAGATTGGAAATTAGGACTAGGAATTAGCTGTGCTAAGATAATGCCATATGTGTTACAGTACTAAAGGTGTCTGTGTTTTGAGCGGAAATATCATTTTAAGATTAGCTGATTGGAATAATTCAGACACTGAATTTCAGAACACTGGAGAAATGTATGACACTCTTCTCCATCATTGTCCCCTTTACTTTAGAGCCAAACATATCAATGGGCTTTAAAACTTCTAATTGTTTCACTTTTATTCTGAAATAGCCTCTGTGGAGTTGCGGTGGGAGAGCTCTTATTGCCACTGGACTACTCTGTCACTGTTCTTTACAGTAATTTTGTACCAATTCCAGTGCAGTTCAAAATGTTGAACATTTATTTAGAGCTTCAAGAAAATTGAAGGGTTTGAATGGCACAAAGTCCCAGTGTTGTAGAGGCATAAAACTGAAAAGATTTAAAGGTCCAGGTTGGTTTTTCCACTCTTGCCTTGCTGCAGAAATAGGAGAATTTTTTTTTGTTTTTTTACTGCTGTTCTTTTCAGCATCTATTATATGCAATCCCGAGTTTGCACAAAATGTTGTACCTCTGGTTGCAATTGTGCTCTTCTGTGAATTTTTTTCCCTATTAGAAATTATACCTGGTAAAATTGTACACAAGAAAAGTCTGGATATGGTGGGAAGTATGCTGTGTTGTTCACAGATTGCTGAAGCAACCTTAATTTTGTCCTTATTTTGATTTGAGTGTGCCATGTCTAGCTTTCTATCTTGAACACATTTCTAGTTCTCGAACCACACTTTCCATGTAGAATTGTATACATTTGGGAACTGGCTTTTAAAGTAACAATTTATGGTGTGTGGATTGGTTATTAGTAATGAATACAGTGGCTAGAATCCTGTTGTTATGTAAATAGCATACCTGTTGGAGGCAAATTGTTGTAAGTTAAAAAATCTTCATACATACTGTTGCACACTGAGTCCTGTGACTCAATATGGAAAATTTAGTTCTGTACAGATTTCTTAACTTATGGCAGATTGCCTCCAAGCATTAATGCTGTTTATGTAACTGCACAGAAAAAAATCAACTAATAAGTTGCAAAGTTTTGTCACCATGCTTTTGCATCCATTTATTGTGTTGAAAAAGGGAAAAGTAAAAGCAACATTGCTACTTCAGCAAATGAGAAAGGGGGCATGTATGTCATACTCTTCATTTTACTGGCTTGGCTTTCCAGAGATTAATCCTTACAAAGTAGCAAACAAGAAGTAAGAATAGCCAGACATCTTGTTTTTGTCTCTGCTACTTACTGTCTAGCTTCATACCTGCCAGTCTGTCGCCTCCCTTGTGCCTTTTTTACATCCTCTGTCCCCATGTACCTTCTATGGTGAGAGTGTCTGAACTTATGTGTCCATCAATCCCTAGTAATATAATTGTTGTTTTAAGAGGGGAAAATGACAGTTTTACTAAATACTGTAGGTAAAACTAAGTGGAATGTTTGCAAAGGCTGTTGGAAGCTTTAATAATAATTTTGGATCTTAAGAACAGCACCAAAATGCAAACAGGTTCAGCTCCAAGCACATGTGTAGATAAGCTACCCAGGAAATTAACATTACAGCTGTTACTGTGACATTCTAGAGCAGCCATTCTCAAAGGGACCATATGCCCCCTTCGGGGATCTGGCACATTTGAAGGGGGTCACAGACTGGAAACAGTTCTTCACAGACCATCTTATAATGTTCATTATATAACTTATACAATCCTGATTCAGCCTGTATTTCTTTCATATTGTGTTTATAGCCATAGCAAGCAAAAAAAAAGGTTAAGAATGTCTGTTCTAGAGCACAGTGTCGATGTAGAATCCCAAGTTATTTACAGTAGGTCAGCGGAGCTTTCTGACACCCAGTTAGATAACAGCAGCAGTAATAACTGCTGTCAGGTTACTTCCAATTTATGGTGCTCCTTTTCGGGGTTTTCTAGGTATGGAGTACTCAGAAATGATTTGTAAGTCCCTTCTTTTGGGGATACTCTGGGACTGTATGGTTTGCTCAAAGCTACACAGACTGGTTCTTCTCCCAGGAGACACTATGGGACATCACATTTCCTAAGCAGCCAATTCACAAGCTGTACATATACACATACATTATATTATTGAATTGAAGACAGTTTGGAGTAACCAGAAATAAATAATTGTGAGCTCTGTTCAGTTCTGGTATTTGGAACAAATGGGTATGGAATTTTTCAGTTCTAAGTGCATGTCTTTTGCACCAGGCTTGGGCTGGTGAATTGTAGGGCATTGTGAAAAATAGATATGACACCCTGAAGGCTTGTCTACCTGTAACCGGAGAATGGGTATTGACTAGAGAGGTGTTACTCTTCATGCATGCCTGGAGCAGTGAAGCAAACACTTTGGCAGTTACTGTTGGGGTAAGCAGCACATGTGAAGCACATTTTACAAGAAGATCTAGAAGCTGTCGCAAAACTGCCCCCGCCTATTATGCTGCAGCAAGTGAGAGAAATTATGGCTGTTTAGAAAATCAATACAAAGAAATTCTGCAAACCATTCTGTGAAGTGCCGTTGAAAGTATCTAGATTCAGGCCTGTGAAACTGGATGTGTACAACCCATCCTCTTTACAGCAGGCCCTTTGGCCTTGGAAATGTTGCACTGAAAACCATGAATTGCACTATGGTGAATTGGAGTGAATTCCTGACAATAAAACAGAGGCACCTTCGGTGGTTGGGTCTCTTCTACCCATAGAAAACGTCCTGAATCCAGCCCATTTTTTCAGCTCTGTCTGCCTGTACTGTTAATGTATTTGGAACAAGTCAATGAGAGCTTTGTTGAATTTCTTTGTGCATAATGCTCCTCTTTCCTTTCCTATCCAGGTCAGTGCTAACTGTTGCTTGTGAACAGACGGAAGTCCTGCTTTTTGACCCCATATCTTCAAAGCACATCAAAACACTCTCCACTGCTCATGAGGACTGTGTAAATAATATCAGGTGAGTTTGCTGGAAAGTGAAAAATGTAGGTATCTCAAATGCTGCTGTCTCTTTGTTCAGTTTTGTTCAGTTCTAAAAGCATGAATTGCTTGTTATGCGCTTTCCAGTTGGAACCAACTTATAGCGACCCTAATAAAGCTTTTAAGGTGAGATGTTTAAATATTGGTTTTATCAGCTCCACACACCTAGTCAGTTTCTGTGGCTGAGTGGGGATTTGAACCCAGGCCTCCTGAGTCCCAGTCCCTTATTCTGTCCACTATATCCCACTGGGTATCTACAAAAGCATGCATAGGTAGGGCTAAATTATAGTGATGTTCCAATCAGTCTTTTTGTTCTTCCTGTTCCTGTCAACTGGTTTCTTTTCTTTGTTGAAATCCAAGCCACAATCCAAAACGCTGTGATTAGTGTAAAATCGTACAACCTAGTGACATCCACAGGAAAATGAAGTAGCACCTATCTGCACAACCCATCTCTAAATTCTTTTTGTCAGCATGATCAAGTCTAAAGAATTGTTCATACTGTTAATACAAGTAGTATTGTTATCATAATGTCTGGAATTATTTTCTTTAATATATTTCTATCCTGTCATTTCTCCAGTGTGCTCAAGGTGATGTACGTAGCTCTTTTTCTCTCCACTTTATCCTCTCATCGACCCTGTGAGGTTGGTTAGGCTAAGAGAGATTGACTAGCCTAAGATAATGCCATGAGTTTCACAATGTAGTGGGGATCTGAATCCAGATCTCCTGACTCCCAGTCCAGCAGTCTAGAACTAATCTAACCACTGTACCAAACTGGCTCTCATATGCCACACTCTTAGCTGTATCAATTCCTAATATAGTGCCGAAGCTCCTACTAGGTACAATGTTTGACTGAATCTTTCTGTCAGCAAAATCAGCTTAGGATGGCGTCCAGAGCTCCTGTGAGAGGAATTCTGCTCATGTAAAATATGACTGAAGGAAAGAGGGGTTAGGAAACCTCCTCTCATGCAGAAAATCTCTCTCACATTCTTCACCTGGACCTTTTCTGGAAGGTCTGTTCCACAAATGGTATGAGTTATTTGGTATCTCCAAGGTTAGCACATGTGTTATGGCTACAGCTTTTGTGCAGTCCATTAGTTTTTAAGGTGCCATAAATAAAAACTAACATGTTGTTTTATTTTGTTGCTGTAGCAGATGAATGCTGCTGCCTCTCTGGGACTTGTTTCTGTGTCTCTGAAGCAGGGGTTGTGCATGCCTCTGCTAATAAGCTCCTTGGTTATTTGGTGTCACCTTTCCACAGGGATTCTTAGGGATAATGACTCCTCTGACTGACTGTTTAAGCTACTTAAGGATTGTGGGGTTTGGCTCAGAAACCAGAGATTACAGGGCCAAAACCAGTATCGCTTTAAGGGAATTAATGGCTAGACTTGATTCTAGGCTGAAGAAAGATTGCTGTAGAAATGTATTCACGAAGGCTTTCACGGCCGGGATCTAATGGTTGTTGTGGGGTTTTTCGGGCTCTTTGGCTGTGTTCTGAAGGTTGTTCTTCCTAACGTTTCGCCAGTCTCTGTGGCCGGCATCTTCAGAGGACAGCACTCTGT